TCTTTTTATAAAATCCCTTTAGAGAATCCAAAGGAACTATTTTCAGAGCAACCATCCACAGCAAGTTCTTCCACAACCACTAGAGAATAATTACACTTCACTATATGATATTGCCTTAAAACCTTAATGATGGGCAGACCTTGGGCATAGATTCTTCACAGTAAAGGTTCCAGCTGTACTTGCATACAGGTATCAGCGTCAAAAGTGTTAAGTGTTAAAATTACCTATAAATTACCTATAAATTACCTATAAATTACAAGAGAAGTTAAAAATTATTTGAACATTAGGCTGGCAAAAGAATAGAAAACAGATTTACAGGGAGAAAGAAAGGACTTAGAAGAGCTTTCTCTCACTCTTTAGCACGCTATGCAGTGGCATGGTGTTCCTTTTCCCTATTTCAATTGCAACTGTGTTCCAATCAAGAGACATCCTTTCCTTCCTAGAAAATTGATAAGTGAATGAACAAGTAAATTCAAAACACTTTAATTCACTTTCTTCCTTAACTAGTTAGCAAAATGTTATCCAAGTTTATTGCCTTATGTCCCACTGAGAGCTACATAGGACCCTCAGATAAATGTGTTCTTACACAGTGAAGTTCTTCCAGATAAAATACTCTACAGAAAGCAGGTAAATATAACGTGATATGCTGGGTATCATACTGGAAATGGTACAAAACCATCTGTTAGTGAACCATCTGATAGTATTGATGACGTCATTCACAATAAAAAAGAAATGAGAGGATTTTCAACACAGTCATAAAATGGAATTATAGTCCCCCAATATGAAACAGACTCTAATTGCACACATTCCCTGCTTGTGTGTCTCCTCCCCATTGCAGCTGTTTGCTTACCTTCTCTTGCAGATGGTTCAGATCATTTTGTCTCCTCCAAGGCCTTTTCTGTTCCTGCCCACCCCGCATCACCCCTTTTCATTCCAGACTCTTATTTTAAGGATACTGAAGCTGTTGCACACTCTTTGCCAAACATAATGTGTTCTCAAAGCTTATACATGGTGCAAAAATAAGTTTGCATGAGCCAAACTTTGGGATAGTCTTATCTGACACTGAAGTCTTATACCTACTTGAAAAGAGGGGTAGTGTAAGGTCAGGACTTGAGGACCTAGGAACCCTTATTGCAACCTTCTTTCTCCTCATCAAGCCCAGTGCTGTCACAGATTAGGATATTTATTCAGGGATGCACAGGACAGAAGCCCCAAATACACACACATATGTAAACATGGATAGAGTTAGTCAATGTTTCATGCGTAACTCCACATGAATGACAGGAAAGGTTCATAAGTTCAATCAGAAGTGTAGAATAGGACTCTTCAGCTTTTTCCCCACAGACATATTATCTGATGAAAGGTTTACGGCAAATCAAATATCATTTTGGCATAATGTATTAAACACCAATGATATGTCTCTGGGTTTCCTACAATAAATGCTTTTCTTTTTGCAATTAGTTGGAAGATTCTAAGGCAAAAAAAGGACTGACAACTTCACAGGAAAAGAAGGCTGGAGTTTTTAATATTTATGAGAAAACTTACGGCAACTTTCAAATTAAAACAGAAATATTTATCCCCCAAAGGCGCATTGGTCAAAAAAAAGGCAAACCACCACCTTGCTCTGATTTAAGTCCTTTGGTATATCACCTTCCCAAATGTTTCATTCAGTAGGAGAGTTCACCATAGTAGCTTGCTTTCTGAATGTAATCCTTCATTATAAATACTGTCTGAACCCTTCCAAGAGGAATCTGTTTTACTACCATTTTCTATCAGACTGGAACTGGACAGGTTTGTAGAATGTACAGTTACTACATAATAACTTCAAGTTCTACTAAGCAAAGATAAAACAATCACTAGGTCGAAGGGGGTGATAGTTTTATACACAAATTTAAGTTCAAAAAGAATGTAAACCCAAAGTCAAAATTGCTATTGAAATTTTTTTTTTAGTGGAAAAAGAAAACCCCACCCAAATAATCAATCCAAAATTCAATAGTAATATTAAGTAGATACATAAATCTAAATTAAAGGTCAAATTTTCAACCAGGTTGGGTCACCAATTCATATTGATATCATTATAGTTTACCCAATTTACACTGGAAACTGGTGAAAAAATAGTCCACATAGAGCTGTAATATGGTAGGCCACTTAAACACCATGTTCATTTTTATAGTCCTCTGCTTCTTGATCAGGAAATACTGTATCCATTATCAAATATTTCAGTAAATACTAGACTTCAGATGTCCTAGCAATACATTCAAATGCACACCATGTTCTCATGTAAGGCTGTTCTTACCATTACTACCAATTTCTTCCTGTGTTAAGCAAGAGATTGTAACAGCAAAAAATACGTTTGTTCTGAAACATACTGTGTACACACCACAAAATTAATATTTAAACTCTTAGTCATGATTCATATATCAGAAAAGATTTTCACAACAGTTAGTAGCATCTTATTTACAGTGGACCAAACTCAGGCAGGGTCTTGCATTCAGAGCAAGTCTGAGCAAAGTTAGCTCTTTTAAAAGGATTGACAGTAAGGCATTTATGTGCCATGACTCTTACAGCATCTGTTTCAGGGGTGTAAGGAATTCTGAATTCTCTTGAATTTTCTAAGCAAGAGAGGATGTTCTCAAGGGAAGGGAGAATGAAGTACCTTCATTCTTCATTAATGGGAGTTCTCTGTGACTAAGGAACTGATTAGACAACAAAGAGAAATGAGACAGCATCCTTGCACCTATCAAACAGAAGTCACCAATTCAATGTTACCTACCTGCCTTCCACTACCTAAAAGTAGAGCTACTTACTGCAACTGCAATGTAGTCTTCCTTCCAAGTGACTTCCACCACATGCTGCATTGTGCAATGTGATTTGGATACATCACAGAAAAGCAGGTGAGTAGAGCATGAGCCTACACTAGATAAGATAGCTGGGGGAAATGGTGTTTTCCAAACCTCTGTTTTTTAAATGAAAAAAAGGAGTGAGAAAGACAAGTTAGGTATCTCTCTTCAGGATAATTTAAAATACTTTCTTATCACTAATATCAATTATAAACATTTATTCTTATTTATGAACACCTGCTTGACATCAACAGAACTAACACACCCCTCCAATTACTTTTCTTATATGATGGCATATTTATTTCGCTCTGATGAGATGAGGCTTTTCTAATTTCCTGTATAACCACCCCCAGCTCTCTGTCTATCTCCCATTAAATTGTGAACAGGCTTCACATATATTTTTAGATGTTTGAAAACTGCAGGAAGAGCTTTTTGATGTTTCAGAACATGTTCAGTCCCAGTGTCTCAATATTGTTTGCTTGCTAACTCCTCAAGCTTATGTCATCCATATGAATGGACTTCAGGCTTTTGAGAAGGGTTACCATATCATTACCATCTGCCTAAACTGCTGCAGTCAGAGGTCTTTCCTTCTAATGTCAATGCCACTTTGAAAACAAAGTTGCAGGATTCCTCTCTGTCTCGGAACATATTTAGAAGTCAATGTCTTATTTTCTATGATTAGTGTGTAACAATGTCAAGTGTGAAATTTAAATTAATGAGCTTTTCACTTATTGAAATGACTTCAGCACTTTTGCTACTTTCATTGATTTCTGTTTACTTTGGCAACCACAAATATTTCTAGATGTGACTAAACAGACTAATAATATGCTAGTATAGATGTACCTACTGATCGAACATTACACTTAACTCTAAACTTATTTTGAAAAATTAACATAATAGGGGAAATATATTATTTATAAAACACTGTTCATTTCCTTCGTTTCAGACAGTGTCACCTTTAAGTTATTTTCTTCCAGCTCTCTCCACACTAATGATTGGCCTACGCTATTGAAACACAGCAGTAAATACAGTATCAACATTACCCATCCATAGAATCAATTTAAATTTTAACTAATATATTCATCATCCAGTAAATACTATCTCAGCAGCAGATAGGGCTGTAGCTAACCTTCAGGATATTTTAGCCTCCTGGTAGAGGCCAATTTGAAAGAAGGAGCTGTATTTAATTCATAAGAGGTGGAAAAAAACCTTTCATTCCCCTCTGTACTTCCCCACACATCAAATAGTAATTTATTTTATTTGTTAAAAAATCTTAAACTGTTTGTATTTCTTGATAACATCTAAAAGAATTATAATTAGTGGAAAAAGCTAAAGGGATAGTTGCTAAGAAGAGAAAGACAAAGCCATGATTCTCTGCCTATAGGTTGGTTTGGGTTTTTTTTTTTAAAGAAAGAAAAAAATAGATAATAAAAGATAAGTGAAAAAGGGAAAACAAGCCTTCCCAAAGGCTATTCAGTATGTTTGTAATGCAGCAGGTGGCTCAGAGGCAGCATTGTGGTGGCTGGAACTCTGCATATGTTCCACAGCATGGGTTATCCCTGGCCTTCTTGAAGATGTGTTTTTATACAGCACAGCCAAATCCACAGCTATCAATGCTACATTCTCAAGAGAAGTAAAACTAAAAAAAAGTAACTAAAAATGGAATCACCAATGCAAATCCCCATTCTGTAAAGGGGTGTTACATGCAAATATAGATTTAAAAAAAATAAATTAATACTGTAAAAGAATATGGAAAGGTTGAACTTTTAAACTTCCCTTTTGTTTCACAGCCAGATTCTGCAAGGCCTTAAATTTCCCTAAGCAACTGTACCTAAATAGGTCCTTGCAAAATCAGTTATTCAGTCTCTCAAAATACTTGTCTACTAATTAGAAAAGTTGGATAATGACCAGTGTGCCTGTGACTCTAAACCTGAAGCCTTTGTTCCTGTAGAATTACAAATGTGCAAATCCTCTGGACATCACTGGAAGATGAAGAGTGCAGCATCATGTGTAGTCTAGAAACTTCAACATAGCAGTCTGTTGATGTCGGAGATTTATGAATTCTTTCATAGATGGAAGATTGTGCTAGCACAGTGCTACTTGCTGCATTATAAGTTTGAAGATTAAATGACCTCTCTCTCTTTTGTTTCCATTTTGCAGGAAAACCTGCTGCCCATGGAGAATTGCCTCTGGGGATACCTGACCACTAAATATGACAGCTGTGGAAATAGAAAGGTCTCAACCTTCACAATTCCTGTATCTCAGCTTCTCTTTTTTGCTTCATTAATTTCTCTCAATTTAGCAGACCAAAACCTTCATTTTTGTAAAGGAACAAATCCGAAATATTTCCTATTTAAGTTCCTAAATAAACCTCATTCCCCCAGACCCTACCTGTGATCCAAATCCCTCTGTTACTCTCAAGTAGATTGCTGCAGCATGATACCAGTGTATGAGGGTCTTTAAACGCAGCGTGTCACTTTTTAAAATGGCATTTTTAAGAGCAAGAAGGCTATCTATTACTTCAGAAAATATTGTCTCTATAGCTGTGATTACACAGGAAGAATGATGTGTTCTTATCAGAATAGATGACAGTACTTTTCCATGTAGAAAAGACTTCTAAGAGCAGATGACAGAGACAAAATTAGCATTTTTCTAGCAAGCATCCCACACATGCACATCTGCAAAGTGTTCCCGCTTCCTTCTCTGCAACCACTACTATACATGACTGTTTCTCCTGAAATTAGAAAAGCATGTGAATCAATTTTGGCTTCATGGTTGCACCTTAGTCTGACTAAGCAATTACAGATGAACAGCAGAAGGCTTACAGATCCTTTTGTTTATTCAAAGCTCTCCAGATTTTCAAGTAAAATGTGAAACCTTTCTCTATGTTTGCATCCAGATCGGAATTTATTTCTTAGTCTTCACTCATTTATGAAGACATTCTGAGGTTCTACAGAAATTCTGAATTAATATGCCTATACAACAGCCTTTTTAATGTAGAGAAGAGAAGAACATGTCTGAGCCTATTAACAGGGCCAAAAGGCTTAAGCCACTCACTAAAACTGAGATTTGAGAAGGTTATATAAAAAGATGTGAAGGATGAAACAAGCTCTTTAATGAGCTTGTAAAGAATTCTTGAATCCCTATTTGTGCACAATGTGACCAAACAAAGGTCTGGTTTCAAGTTGGATTTTTAAACTGATTTCACTTATAAAAGTAACACTATTTTTCTGTCATTGATCTCCTAAGTCAATATTAGAAAAAGAGTTCAAAGAACTCATTCGTTTGATCAAAAAAAGCAAGTAGAATCAACTATGTGGTTCAATGGAGAAATGCTTTCTCTCAGTGTGATATATACACTCGTGAACAGAGAGAAACCAGAAATAGATGGCAAGACTAGAGGCAGTACTGCTAAGAGCAGAATGCTCAACAGTGGCAACTACTGTGCAGCTCTGGGGCAAGCACTAATTTGCAAGCAATGAGGAAGCAATTTCTTTGGTTTTTTCACATGTGGGGATGTGGAGAACAGAACTGCTTGCACAGACAATGGGCAAATTGTCTGTATTGCCATTTTCTAGGCATACAAGGCCAAAATCAGTGCTCAGTTACAGAAGTCTGAAATAACTAAAATCATAAAATATATATAGTTTTCTGGGTCTTGCACTGCACTACAAAAGTCTGTCAAAAGCTGCCAGAAGCGCTGTACACTTCAATGAGAAGAGTGAGACAGAACTTCCAAAATTTGCTTTGCCTGTTATGTTTGATAAAGAAGCCAAGTATGTTGCCCAATACACCATGCTGTCACCTTTACCCCTTCTGTTCTCTCCTGTGGTCACCTTTGAGTTTTATAACAAGATTACAGTGAGATTATTGCATAAGGAGGGCAAGGGCTCTTCTGATGAAGTATGAAGAAGCTCATCTAGCTGTACGCTGAAAAAACAGAAGAAATAAAGCAAGGACTGACACGAGGGCAAAATTCAGCCTATACTGGTGTGCAGGTGCTCTCTATGTGTGGTGCTACAGCTGCACTGGGAGGAACCAGCAGTTCCTGGAAAACAGCTCTCTTCTGAGTTGTGTGAGTTGTTCTGGCACAATGAAAACACAGCTAAACCAGAAGCCAAGGCTCTTTGGGGTGTCAGGATATCTTGCTGCTGGTTTTAACGAGCTGCCCTGTGAATTCAATTCATCGGCAACCCAATGACCCCAGAACTTCACTAGGTCCTTCCTGTGCTTCCTGACCCTGCCACAGTAATAACAGTAAATGCATAAGAATTTTGAGAGTACTGAGGCAGATGGCATTGACATACAGTCATCATTTTCCACCTCACACCATCAAAACATGACAACCAGCAATTCCTAGAAACAGATACTGCAACTGTTCAAACTCCACCAATTTTTTTACCCCTTTCACTGTGCTACGTGTTTGAAAATATATACATTGATTGCTGCATTAAATAATTGTCTTGCCCCACACAATGCAGTGTTTTGCATATTTGCTGATGTTTCCCCAAAAGCACTGGGGGAATGAATCATTACTGAAACAATTTACTTTCAGTTAGTGCATGAATGCCTTCCCATGATGCTTTGATGCTTTGTTTGTCCTCCTATAAAAATTATTTATGACCCGTGTGTGATCTTTTAAATCAGAATACTTATTCAGAAATCAAAGCTCCAGCATGTTAATGCAAGTAGAAGCCCTAACTAATTTTTCAAAGCCACGTTGAATATTCAAAAGCTAGGACTGAAGGAAAGGAGTTAACATTAATTAATATTTGAAGCAGTAAAATAAAAGCAACAGTGAAGCTAATTTTGCAGGACAATTAATCATGAGCCTTGCTAATTACACATGGGATTTTGCAAATGATTTTTTTTCTCAGGTAGCAGAGTAAAAATGATAATCCACTACCCATCAAAATCATTGGCTCCTCACCAATGTCCCCAGCAAGAGCAATTAGTGGGAACAGCAGAGCTCTAGTAATTGCATGTCAAGAGAGGAGAATGTAAGAATTTTAATTGCTCCAAATAAAGACCACTTGCTTATACATACACCTGACTGTCCAAAACTAGTCTGCAAGCTGGAGCAAGTATATATAACCACTTCCAGGTGTCTGCACAAAAATAACTCTGTGGGAGAAGTACTCTAAGCAACACATGCAGTTTCTGGAAGAAAAATATCAATATGCACTTATATTCTGAACTGCAGTGTCATCACTCGACTATAAGAACTGGGAAAAAAAATATATCACCCACTTGGGAAAATGTGCATATTCTTTATATTTGCCAAATATTTATTGCTGACATTTTTTGAAGAACTTTAACTATCTTCAGGGTGCCAAGGGCTTCAAATTTACTGAATTTTAGGATCACCAATAAAATGTTTTTAACAAGACATCTCAAGAGGACATAAAATAAAAAATTACCATATTCATGAGAGCAAGCCTGTAAGATTGCAATGCTATAAACTGGATGTTTATAATTTGCTTGTGGCTTTCTTAATTAAAAAAAAAAAAGAAACCCAAACAACTAGTAATTAGAGACTCCAGTCCCATTTTTGCACTTTATCCCAATCACTGACATGCTACTATTACTTTTTTGTTTAATATACCTACACACGGATGCACACAATTGCAAATAATCAATAATATTTAAGTACATGTCCAAGTTCTAAATGATGATGGATATATTTAAATATTGCTTTCCAGGAAATTATTACTTTACTGGTCATGTAGTAACTTTAAAAACTTATAGGTTGAAAGAAATGCCTGCTTTTTCTCTGTTTCTCTTTAAGGTGTTTACCATTTACACTCATTTTCAAATGAAATGACTGAATTACCTTCCAAGTGCCACTACCTCCTATTGTCTTTTGCTCTCTCCTTCCGCTTCTGTGTACACCATATTGAGGTACTAAACCACTTTCTGCTGTTAGCTTTGTTAAGCATTAAACTGAGAGCAGTAGCCTTAACTTGTCTAAATATATTCTTTGCATGTTCAAAATCACTGTACACTGTTTATTACACCACGACTGCTTGAGAGAAAAAAAGCAGGTCATGCAGAGTGCTGCTTCCTTTCCTGAATTACCAGCAGAGCACAGGTGTTTATCAGACTCCCGGAGGTGATTCAGGTAATAAACACCAGGATGGCAGTTTAAATGGTTAGAAGCTTTTCCATCAAATACAGTCCTTGCAGTCCTATCATTTTGCATATATTGCTCACAAATGGCAAATTATTTATGCAGCCTCCTTAAGTGGTTCCTTATGGTTTTACTTTATTTTTCCAAAGCAGGAACCTTTTGAAGATGTGTGTTCTCATGACAAGGCAAACTATCATTCCATCTGTGATTCTGACTCATTTCTTAAAGTTCACTGTAGATGTATAATGCCAGTGACCTTGTTTTGCCCTTCTGTTTAGCTCAAATATCTTTTCTAAGAAAGCACCAGTGTCATCGTGGAAGTTACTATTCTGTGCTTGTACAAGGAGATCAAGAATAAACTGTACGCAGGAGAAACTGGCTTTTAAATAAGAAAAGCTTTTTCAAATATTACCTTGTGAAAATAAAATTAAAATAGACATTGATTAAGACTGCTACATCTAACACAGATTTTTAGAAGAATTTGCTGTAAAATAAAATAGGATGAGTTTTGGGGGAAAAAATGTTTAAACAGAGGGTTTTTTTGTCTAAGCTGACAGAGATGAACTTGTGTAAATCTATGCTATTACAGAAAGTTACTGACTGAGACATACGTGTAGCAATTGCCCATTACCTGTTAATAACTGGAATTTGTTTCATGGTGCTGAATCACAAAGCCCATATTTAATGCCAGAGCTGTGACACAAACCAGTGTACTGGTATGCAGATCTCCTGCTTCTTCCCTTTTTGACAAACAGCTCTGCAATAATTACATAGAAATTCCCTATATGCAAAGTAGATATCAGGAAAGGATTTATGATTGTTCAAAAAAATTTAGCACCGTGAAAGAAAGAGGAAAAGCCAGCACAATATAAAGTTTCTAAGAATCATCAGATCATAATTACTGCACCAGTGGTGTAATAACTCTGAATCACTTACAATTTTATCAGTTATACCCTCACCTTGTGAAATAATATGGATTTCCATAGAAGTGGTATGGAATAGCAGGTGTTAGGAAACACTCAGAACATCTAAGATTAGTTTCTGCTAATTTTCTACAGTTTGACAGATAACCTCAAGCCATAAACTGAAGATTATGGCTGCATCATACATACCAGGTAAGTAATAAAGTATCACCATTTTGATCATGGTGGGTAAGAGTAAACAAGTATTGCCTTTTCTACTTTTTTACAGGATGAAAATTAGCCACAAAGGAAATAAGCAACTTGCCCAAGAATGTACAGTAAATCTATAGAAGCCCCAAAAACTGAATCGAAATCTACGAAGCACTGAAATCCTACTAACCCTACAACATACCCTTTCTTTTGGATTGAATATCACAAATAAATGTACAATTTTACAATCAGTAATTTTACAGCTTAATGAAAACTTATTCTGAATATATTAGATATGATGAGGAACGTCAAGTATTGTGCTATCCAGTATGAAATCGAGACCGAACTCCACTTCTATCCCATTGACTGATAAAGGCCTAGGATATAAGTTCTCTAGCATTGTCCATATTCTCATGTCATTTTAGACTGTCAAGGAAATAAACCTCTTTTACCTCACAGGCTGTGAAAAACTTTATTGACCTTAATCAATATATATGAACAAAACACAGAATGGCAGAAAATGCCACTAGGCTGAAATCAGACAAGAAAGATTTTCTATGACTTCAGTTTTGGAATTCCAGACACTTCAGAGAACAATAATTTTCAGATAAAGTGAAAGTAGTTCTACACACCAGTTCTGTTCTACAGAAACCGAAACAAACTCCGTATCACAGGAATGTCTTATGAATATTAAAAAGACTGGCTTGCCCAGAGAACTTGTCTTTTTATAACGGTTTTGGAAGAAAAACAAGAAGAATTCTTTTCACTTCAGTAAGTCATGACCTAATCAAAACCAACGAAGAAATAAACTAAAAGGTGAAATACGTGTTTAGATCAAAAAAGGTAACTCACTTTCTTTTGCCATTGAAATGAAAAAATAAAGAAATAAAAACTCCAAAGTCAAAAATTCAAACCTCATGTAATCTCAAGGCTTCAAGACACTGATATCACAAAGTCTTACTACAAATTTCACTCTATTGCATCAGTCTTTCACCTTTGATAAAAACCTAATATTTCAAAACACCTTGAGCAAAGCAACTTGAAAAATGGTGCAGCACGTGGTATGCAAATCGCAGGTGGATTAAATAATATACATACAGAGCAGCTGGGTTTTATCTGGCAAACAGGTGCTAGATTTTGGATTTGCTGAATAGCCACAATTGTAATGACTTTTTGATGAGAGGTGAAATGGGGACCTGGGGAGTCTTCCATTCAGCTTGTCTAGCTATTTTGGTTTCATTTTGTTTTTACTAGGAAGTTTCAAAAGACCATAATATATGAGTATATCACAATATTCTTCCTCAGAATATCTAAATCTAAGCCAAAAAGTGGCAGTTAATAAGCCAGAAAATAATGTGTTTAGACACTGGATTAAAACAAATCCAGTGATGTGGCAGAAGACATTTTAAACAATGCAGCCTAAAGCATCAACACATATAAAGTGCAGCACATCAGAGAAGGTACTTTAAATTTCTAGCTAAGAGTCTGGCCCAACATGTTCAAATACACAAGAAGAAAACTAAGCATCAAAAGCATGAGGTTCTCTCAGATTTGGAACAATAACAATGAGGTGCATTTGCTGCATCTGCCCACAGGTTAATCTGGTTCTTTTAGTAACTGTACCTTGTAAAGTCCCCAGCATATTATATAGCCATTTTTTTTAACAATTCAGAGTGGCATGGTCTGAGTGCTTTTTACCTGCATAACAAAATGATTACACAGACCAATAGTGATTAATGCATGGAGCATTGGCACTTCCTCCCTCCCTACAAGTAAGGTAACAGGTTATGCTGCTGTGCTATGAACTGTGGGGTTTTTAAATATTTTGACTCACAAAACATACATAGGAAGTCTTTAATCACAATTATAGATACATTAATACAAACTAAAGATAAATATTTGGTTTGAATATCCAACATTGAGGCATAACATAAAATAAGACACTATCAGTAAACTCAGAGCTGAACTATGACCTTCCTTCTTCAGGGGATGCAGCATGTAGAAATGAGTCCTATCAAAACCAACAGCCAGAAAGGACTATTAGAGTAGTAATCTAAACTGAATTAAACACCTGAACAGATATTACAGAGCAGGATCATTAGCTAAATGATTAAACAAAGCTCCTGGGCTTCCTACTTATCCTCTCAGTCATAAAGAATGGTAAAAATACCATTCTACTGAGTACAAAGCAAGAAGGTTCTCCTGTCTTTTGGAACAGGAGAAAAGCTCTAACTGGAAAAGAAACTTGCCTAAGGTTAATATAATTCTCTGGTTTCAGATACTTTACACTTCCTATCCAATATATCACTGCAGACTTACACAAAACGCCAACACATAACCACAGTTATACTGCCTACTCATTAATTATGCCATCAGTCACCCATCCTAAACATGCTGTAGCTGAAATGAAACTGCAAGATGCATTTTCTTTTCCTCAAGGCTCTTTACTTTGGCCCTGTGTCTGTTTTAAGTTTCCATACACGTTTCTCCTCTCCTACAGTCTTTGACCTATTTAGCCTGTTATTTAGCATTCTTTCAAAAAACAGAAATCTAAAAAATGTACAGTTTGGAAGCCAAAGAGGGACGGAAATAACCCCAACTCCCAGAATCAAAAGGATGTTGATTTCAGATCCAGAAGTTCCTTCCCACCAGACAGATCAATGAACAATTATCTATAAAGCATAAGGCTAGACAGCAGGGTTCAACACTGCTCAGAATTATTTACTTCTCCTGTAATTTTAAAAACTATTCTCCTTGCCCTTCAGTGTGAAATATATGTATGGAGGGGCTCTGAAAGATGAAAATTCATTAGATGAACTAGGAACAAGCTAATAAAGCATGCTCCCTGTAACACTAATAAGTTGGGGGAGGTGGGTTGAGGGAATACCATTCTCCTATAAAGAGAGTACCTGCATATGACTGTGTTCAATCTGCTATTCATCGCAGCAAATATTGGTCCAGAAAGAATCAGCCTGAAGTCCCTTTTCATTAGGGGATAAATAGTGCTTGTCTTTTGCGGGAATACAAGACAACTGTGTGAAGAGTTTGCAAACTGTATCTGAGGCCCACTCATGCAGTCAAGACAATGCCAATTTCAGCCTCAGCTTGTGTCTCCAAAAATTTTTTGGCCTGATTTTTCTCGTGTCCCTGTACTCTGTGAAGCACTACCTCCAGTCTCCAGTGCTGTTTCAAAGGCATTACAGCAGAGACAACAGACAGCCATATTAAGAGAGAGGATGCTGAAAGTTACTTCCATTGTGCCAGCAGGAGTTATCTTCAGAGTTGTCATCTGGGCCAGGGATGAGGCAAAGACCTTCTTTCTATTTAGCCACCAACACATTGGTTCGTGCTTTCAATAATCTGCTTCACAGCCATGATTGCTAAGGTCTGCTATACCCAGATGTCCCAGCAGAGATACAAGTGTAACTGGGATTGGCACCAGATGATAGTTAAATAGCAAGAGAGACCTCAAATAGTGAACCCAAAGACTGGGGGTAGAGAGGATCATAGCTGTCATCTGCTGCCGAGAAGGAAGATGGCATATGACCCTCTTGAGCAATGAATTCAAGGATACAGAGCCCACCGGAGAGAAGCCTGTTTCCTTTGCCCACAGCACACATAAGAGTCAGTACAAGCCAAGAATCAGGGAGGGAATTTCTGGACATCACTGGCTAAGCAAAGAGAAGGAGACAGATTCATCCCCAGACAGGCCTATACCATGCAGCCACAGAGTATTCTGAGTTGGAAACAATCCACCAGGATCATCAAGTCCAACTCTTAAGTGAATGGCCCACTCAGAGACTAAACCACAATCTTGGCATTATTAGCATCATACTTTAACCAACTGACCTAATCTCAGCTATGTAAAGAGGGAAAAGGGAAGAATTGATGTTTGCTCTTACGGAAACAACTTGACACGAGCTCCCTCGTGTTTGCTGTGTACACATAAAGCAGCCTTCCCTGACTGGCTACAGCACTGAATGACTGGTGTGAGCAATGAAGGAAGAACAAGCAAATGCCATATGCCAGACATCTATCTTCTGGCAGGCCCTGTACCCTTCCTGCTAAGCTTGGTAAGCAAGGAAAGTCTTACGTGGTGTTTCCTCAGTGAAATTATATCAAATGAAAGATAAGACTTGCACAGACCTGGAAATTTCCCACTATCCATTTAGAAGAGAATGAGGATGCAAAAGGCAGGCTTGTGGTTGCTCCAGAAAGGACTTGTAAGGGCTTGTAGCAAGCACTGGATATAGTTTCTCTAGAGACTGGACACCAGGTCAGATTGCCACATCAGCAAGTGTCCATACTCCCTAAGAACATTTGTCCATGCTGGAAGCATAAGCAGCAGGATAACAAGCACCTCTAGGCACTACTGTGTAGCTGAGTTTTTGATTCTAGTCACCAGCTACAAAGGAAGGCTCCCAGCTTGGCTGATATTTTTCCTCCACCTCCTCCAGCCACCTGAAGGCAAACCATACTTGGAGGTGCTGTGCAATCTGGCCAGGTGGGAGGCTGGAGGGTGTGCACACACCCCAACTGAAGGAATTGGCCTGGCATTAGTGGGATAAGGGCAAGACAGGATCAAGTTAGGAGGTAGGTTGGCAACTACAGCCTGCAGGAATCTAAAATACACTTTTAAAAACTGTATTTTGGACACAGCTTCTAGAGCTCATGAGCTGTAAGCAAGATCTGAACTTTCAAGAGCTGAGAGTCTTAGGCCCCTTTATTTTTGTTTCAATTATATTTAAAGACATTGCTGGTTCTACAGGGCACTATGAACTCTGTCGTCTGTGCCCAGCTAGAGTATGGCCTTTTTTTGGACTCATCATCTTCATCAGGGTGAGGTAGTTAAGGCTCTTATGTTGAGACTCAGAGGAATTCCGCATGGTCTCAGCAAGAGATCTCTCTTCTAGCTTCCTGTAAAAAACTTCAGACTCATCTTTATGACTTATCATAAATAGCTTGTTTGGAAATATTCAGTGGAATTTGACTTAACTGATTCTAACTAATCACACAGAAAGGTTGGGCCCCCTGCATGAAGTCTCTCTAGTATTTTAATTCTGTTCATCAGGCAGACCCTGGGTGTTGTCTAAACTGTGTTCTAACTTTCAGGGTGTTCCCTTCGCCAACAGTCTCTGTGAGGACAGCAAGAGATTTTCTAATGCTTTGAAACACTTGAAAATATTTTTTTAAGAATTGTATCAATACTGAATGTCTTTCTTCTAGACACTGTTGTAAGACTTAGCTTTGCAGTC